ATTTAGTGTGTTGTTTATACTTAAATAAAAGCTTGAATACATGCATACAGTTTGTGTTACTGTATGAACATTAGGAGTGAAGTTCACTGTGATGCTCGGGGCGCAAACTACAATCTTGCCTAGAGCACCAAATTGGTCCCTGATTCAGTCCAGTACTTCATTTAGGGAGAAGAAATGAGTCCTTCAGCTTCAGTGATTCTTTCCAACAGCGGGATGATGGCGACCATCCAGATTTTAAATATTACAGGTTTGATATTATCAAGGTGGTCCTGATGAGTGTGAGCAGTTCAGGAGGTTTCTGGATCTGTCAACTCCTCACAGTACCAAATAAACTGGACTAACATCAGTTCTCATCCAGATCCCAGACCAGGCTTCTGCTCCGACTGTCAGCAGGAGGAAAACCAGTTTGGGATTCGAGTCTAGAATGTTTTTAGCCTTATTTTGAACTTGATTTTGGAGTGGTTTAGGATTGATCTTGAATCTGGAGTGGTTTCCCACTTCATTTTGAACTGGTTTTGGATTTAACTGTGTTTGAGACCAGAGGAGGCATCTACAGACTACAGCTCATGGTGGCAGCAGAGAGCATTGTGGGAGTTTAGCAGCAACGGGACCATGACAGAGACTCTGAGGAGGTTCAGGACCTCCAAGCAGAGCTCAGGTGCTTACTGGGATCTACTCTTTGATTTGTGTCAACAATAAATCAGTTATTCTAACTGATGATGTTATTGATGAGGTAAATTACTCTAAATGTACACCCTGAACAATCTGTTACAAATTCTTATGAAACCTGTGTGGTAGTGGCTGCAAACAATGACCAGGGTTTAGGTTGTATTGAGATGATTAGTTGAAAATTGCCCGCTCAGCCCTGATCCAGATCTGTGAGGTCACATCGGACCCTCCCTGGTCAAGATCCAGACGTAGTGATGACAACATGTTAATGACCGAATTGTAAAGAGCCGCAGGATGTTTGATCACCAAACATCCAATCATTTGCAAACACTTGTTAAGAAACCGTGTTGGTTTTTGTGGGTTTTTTGGCTGGTTAGAATTTCATTTCTGTTCTCAAACTCCACACTGGACCTGTTCTTCTACCTGGACTCAGGGCTGTGACATGAGAACAGACATTACCTGAGCACATGTTTACAGGTAAAGGTGAGATTTGAAGTGTGACAGAAGTCCACACAATGAGTGTTCAAACAGAGGTGAGTGTTTGTGGGGTAGAAAATACAGCAGAACCAGCCTGTAATGCTTTATTTCCACACAGCTCTGTGTCCGGGTTTTTTGAAGTCCAGAATGTGCCTTCTTAAAACGTTAACTTTAGAGGTGATTCAGAGGTTGCACTGCGGCCTGGAAGCTTAACAAAGCCTATTAGCTTACAGGCTAATATAAATTACTGACACCAGACAAAGCTCTGTGGAAACAAGGTGCAGGTTTAATATCTGGACATCTACCAATAAACAACATTTCCAGCATGTTAAGATTAGCAGCAGAGACTCTGAGACCCAGTAACTTAAATTAAAACCTACTTACTATCTGACAGCTCTCTGCTGTTAGCTTCCTGAGCTAACAGTTTCACAAAGGACAGGCTAGTTAGCAGATGCTGTTCACCATCCTTAAAGCAGATTAGCTGAGTAATACGGATGCGATATACTCAACTAGGGGGCTAAACTTACATTTAGCTCTGACAAGGTGCCTCATATTACTGAAAAGTCATAGAACTAATTTTATCCCTTGGTGTTAGCTGCAGAGTTAGCGACTTACCGCATTGGTGGACTACCAAGCTGTGAAAGCTGTGACTGAAACTGCTAAAGAGGACGATAGCTAACTACAATAGCTTGCTGAGCTAACAGGGAAACTGCCAGACTTAAAGGTAAGATCCTGATTAGCTTCTTAAAAGTAATCACATGGTGGTATTTATTGACAGTAACAGGCCTCCAGTCAGTCACAGCTCACACGAATCCCAACTGATGCACACACTCTTATTCGTTAGCTTTTGCGCTAATGCTAGCTTCAGATGGAGCGGGAGTTCAGAAAACAAAAGGTCCAAATCACATTAGTTATGGTACAAACACAGGAAGTAAACTAAGATCAATATGTTCATAGCACACCTCAACTGAACATTTAGCTTGGACACAATGCTTTTCAGAATAGAATTACCTCAAACAAAGTGAAAACAGAGGAAATACTGGACTTAGACTCTTCAGGTAGATTGATCATGTTGCTGTGGGACTAGGAAGCTGTCTGTGACGCTGTCAACACGCGACATATACAGTACACATCTGCTAACGGCTAACTAGTAGCTAGCTACATGTTCTTCTGTGACATGGTGGACAAAGATTTCAGCGTTAGCTTCCTACGCTAACATTTCACAGCCTGGTGACTGATCTGCTATCAGAAGTGTCACAGACAGTCACATATAAAAACGAGTGTAGTTTGTGCTTTAAACTAGCAGATGTTTCTACTCTGGGATCTGATGACACTTTAAGCTTTGGTTCTTGTTCTAGTTGGCTTCTGTTGGACTTCTGCCTCAGGGGTGAAACTCTGCTCAGTTTGATGCAAATGAAAATCAGCAAACTTGACTTACCCTGAACAGCTTTACTAGTTCCTGCTTAAAGACTTACCGCGGTCAAAAACGCAAAATCCTGCGTAACATATAAGAAACAAAGCATGTGGAAGCTTTGTTGTGCTTCTGCATCCTCACTGGTCCTGCAGCGGCAGCGCAGCAGCTTGGGCGGCTTCAGGAGCTCAGCTGTTTAATAACTCAATAAAAGCATAGCTGGGGACTCTTCTATGGTCACTACACGCTCTAAATCCGTTAATAAAAATATTCTGTATTCATTTAATAACATCTCCACAGGCTGGGTCAGAACCTCAGTGGGGGCTCCTCCAGGACCAGCAAAAAACACATGAACTCTTAGAATCTGATTACAAGCTGTTCGAACAGCTTTAGTTATTCCTGCAAAGGTCGAGTCGTGACGTAGAAAGTCTGGGAGAAACACCCGTATGAACATGACTTGTATGTATTAAGTCAAAGAGTTCAGAGTTCACGACTAAGAGGGTAAAAATTTAGAGTGAAAATCCCTCGTTTACCTTCACTTTACTTTTCATCATTTACACTTAGCTGAAACTACAAATCACTACAAGTCAAAGATGGACTCTGGATGTTCAGCAACAGTTTTTAATGGTAGCTGCTAAACGAGTCTACATAACACACAATAAACTGGCCTGAATGGTTACCTGAACCAGAAAGGTGCTGAGCTGGAAAACACTGGCTGCTACAGCTGATTTTTCACAAACCACTTACTCACCGAATAATGGAAGTCCTGATTCCTGAGCTTAACAACCGCAACGTACTGATTTGATGCAGAAGGCGTAAACGTTGAAGTGGGACTCTGGTGAAGCAAAATTTGAGTTTCACCTGAGATAATAACCGCCGCTAACGCAGAACGCAACGGGCTGTAAATCAGAGGCTTCTAACGTCACCTGCCGGTTTCCATCATCGATTTGTGCTGTTAAAAATAACAGACCATAATGCCTTATGTTAGTCCTGGACTGACCCTTGAAGACTTCTGCATTTCACCCGAATACTGCACAAAACCCGAGATGTTTACATCCAGGTAGCTCTTCCTGAACTGCAGACCGTCGCCTGCCCAGGAGATTTTATGCCCTTTCTTATTAACAGACAGTATCAGCTATCTGAACCACCTGAAGTGAAGTTCTGGGTTTATTTAAAAGCTAGCTGTACTGTGTTTACACTCAGTGGTCACTGTTCAAGTACAACCAGTTAGATTTTTCTGACAGAACAGTTAGCATCCTCTCTAGGAAAGGATCTATGTGGGTCCAGTTTAAAACTGTTAAAATGCAGGAGTGTTTACAGGTCGTCTGTTGCTTCTGCTGCAAAAAGTAAGGCCTCAGTCCAGGAGGGCTGCTGATGTCCGACTGTTCTCCTTATCAAAGCAACACCACCAACTGTCCGGGCAACAATAATACGGTCAGATGATCATATCGACCAACCGATGGAGGACTGAAGACTTTGTAGTGTGGACAGTTCAGATGCCATCACTGATGTAGCACCAACTGACTCCCGGACACTTTGTTCAAATACAGGTGTGATGTACCAAAGGAAATGTGTGAGTAAAAGCTGGACATTCATGACCACTGAGTGTAATTACATCTAAGCTTTGCTAAAAATGATCACTGTGTCTACTTATCTAGCTAATGATAAGGACTCAAGGGAATAAAACCTAAATAACTTTATGGCATTGGCCAAAACTACAAACCGCCATGTACGTAAATTGGTACTCAAGGCTTGGTCTGTCCCAACCTTTGATTACTTCTAATTTAACTCACTAAAATGCCAGAAATACAGCGTTGGTATCAGTAAACTTGGGTGTTTTCAAACCTTTCTAACTACATGTTCATTACAACCTCTCTTCAACTCTTCTGACTATATAGTGATATCTAGACTTAAAGCCTTACTTAAAAGCTAGATATCCATGGAGTCACCATATGAGGAGGAAGAACACGTTACTTTGTGAAGTTGAGATATCAGTCGGCTTCTTGTCTTGATCGCTGGGACGAACCACCGGGATTGGCTAACAGGCGTAGCACAGGGAACCTTTGTGGCGCTGCAATGCACTATGTAGCCTTACAGACATGTTTATGGCTCATTGTGTGCTCTGTTAGCACGTCAGTAGTTCCAAAGAATAACCTCAACAGAACTCTAGCTTAGCACTGGACCACAGGGCCTGACAGGTGGATTAGGCTTACTAGTCATGTGGTTGCTATATCCAGATAAAGCTGAAGCCTGGGTAAATATCTGAGAGAAGTAACTCTACTTTAACCTGCTCAAAGTACCTGTCAAGTTAAATCAAAAAGAAAACAGTGAATTGTATGCAGTTGTATACTTGAAAATGCATTAACATTACTGACGATAAAATCCCCGTAATTCAAACGTTTCTAGGAAAGATTAATGTCTGTAAATCAACAAGTTCTGATACCTGGAGCGACCAGGGTCCCGTCCTTCTCTCCTTGTTTCTTGCGAGCTTGCATATCTTTGTACTGCTGCTCTCTTTTTTCCAAAAGCCTCTGGTTGTACAGATCCAACTGCAACATAAACACAAAAACTCAAGTCCTTGTGTTTTCTCATTATTTTGAGGTTTCTACTTTATTAAATGCAGTAGATTACTTTGGAATACATGTGTCATATAATTGGAACTACTTGAATTAAAGGATTTGAGTACTGGAGCACCACCGACCCTCAGTGCTTAAGCAGACAGAAACTGGACTTCTTTTTGGTTCTTGAAGATGTTTCACACTCTCATTTAAGGGGCTCCTCAGTTCTAATTTTGAAGGTTTGGCTTAGAACTGAGGAAGCCGCTTGGTTAAGAGCTGAAACATCTTCAAGAACCAAAAAGAAGCCCAGTTGCCCTACTGAAGTGTTTAGAATAATCATGACCTGAATCACAGAGAATCCACGCAGACAGTTGCAGCTTCTTACCTTTTCCTTCTGCTTGGTCTTGATGTCGTCGTCTGTTGGTGCTGAGGTCGGAGGACTGGCAGCTGAGGTCGACTCTGTGGGTAAACTGAACTGGACCGATTTGGATGGTTTGGCTGGTGGCTGCACAGCCAGAGATTTTACTGTCTCTATGACCTTCAAGCACCGAGCCACTGTCGTGGAGATGGCTGATGGGTCATCGCCTGCAGGACTCAAAGATGCTGGTGTTGATAATGGTGGTGTTACTGTGGCAGTGGTTAAAGGCTGTGGAGAACTGGAGGAGTTAGAAGTAAGAGCTTGGTCAGGATTTCCGATAAAAGGCAAGACCGAATAACTGGAGGGTGGAGCAAAAGGAGGTTGTCCGGGAGGGTGTCGGGGTGGAGGGCCAGGAGGAGGTCCTGGAGGTGGCTGTCCAGGACGCCGTGGAGGAGGTCCAGGGGGAGGTCCTGGAGGTCTCTGATGTGGCTGTCCAGCTGCAGGAGGAGATAAAGTTCCCATACTTGTTGATGTGGAAGTCTGTGAAGAAGAAATGTGGGAGGTGATGCCAAGTGGCCAGTTGATTGGTAGGGGTGGATGTTGGTAGTGAGCAGGTGGAGGCACAGGAGGTGGTTTAGGAGAAGGGGTGGTGGAGGGTGTGGTCCCCATCGTCTTGGTAAGACTTTGCAGCTGCTGCGCCTTCTTTAGAGCCTCCAACTCTTGCTGGTCCAGGAATTCCTCGTACTCGGACACGGTGGTTGTATGTCTGCTGAGCGGTTCCAAACTGGAGGATCTGACAGGGGAGGGAGAATGAATGTGATCCAATTCAACAGAACCGGTTCTTGCTGGTCGCAGGTCTTTCCTCGGGGACGATAAAGTCTCTCTCTCAGTGGAGGACGACTTGGGGCTGTAGATTTTCTCCTGTGCTCGGCTGGCCAGTTTGGATACATCTCCAGTGCTCAGCTTTAGGCCGATTGTACGGAGCAGACTTTGGATCTTGTCGTAGGGTTCTATCTTTGGATCCTCATTCATTCTCTCTACTGAGGACCGTTTTGGACTTGGTTGCTTCTGCTCCACTTCCAGAACCTGACTGCTGCTAGGCGGGTCTTGAGCCAATCCCACAATCCGGGAGAAGCCCCTGCCATCCTGAAGAGCCCTCTCATGAGGCAGAAGGTCGTCATTAACATGAACTGGCTCTGCTTTCCTTTCAGCATCCACCTTTTTGTTGAGCATGTCGAGGAAGCGGTCCAGAGGTGGTTTCTCAGCGGGAGGTGACGAACACAAGGTGGTGTCCCTCAATCTTGGAGAGGGGCTTCGAGGAGGTGGTTCTACCGGAGAAGGAGGTCTGAAAGGGTCTTGGGAGGATGAAATGGCAGCAGGATGTTTCAAGTGAGGTTGAGTAGAAGCAGTAGGGACTTCGCCAGACTGGGAGGGGGGCGAAAGATGGTGGGGTTCAGGAGACTGGCTCCGTTTGACTGGGAGATATGGATCATATGGTTGGTCCGTGTATGCCGGGTCATAGTAGCGATCATCATAGGGTTCATCATAAACATCGTAGCGGTCAGTGTACCGACGGGTGGCAGGTACTGGGCCACTGTAGGGAGGTTCACCATAAACACGACTTTCAAAAGGGCGTTCCCCATACGGATGCTCAGCATAAGGTCGATCAGCATAGGGTCGGCTGGTGTACGGGTCGCCATAGCGTTCCGCATACCGCCGATCTTGGTAAGGGGCGTATGCCCGGTCATAATAAGGATCATCGTAAGGCGGACGATGGAGGTACTCGGGTCCCTCCGGTCGTTTTTTCAGGATGGAACGGACCGGTTTGTACTCAGTGAGCGGGACAGCAATCCTGCCGTGGTCATAGTCTATGCAGGTCCTCTGGCCGGGGTCCAGTCCTCTTGGGTCCACCAGTGACTTCTTGTAGGCAATCATCTCATTCAGCTCCTCCAGCTCCCGTTTCTTCCTCGCCAGTTCGTCGTCCATGACTCCTCCTCTCCTGGTTGGAGGACTCAGCTCCCTCCTCCTCTTGTGGCTTTCCTCACGCTCTCTGCTGACCTTGCTCCCCTTCTTGGCAGCCCGGTCCCTGCTCCTCTCCCTGCTCCTGCTGCGACTCCTGCTCGAGCTCTTGCTGCGGCTGTGACTCTTGCTGCGACTCTTCGAGCGGCTTCTACTTCGTCGATGCGACGTCTCGCGGCTGCGTCTGTACCTGCTGCTCCTGCGGTCGCGATCAATGCTGGAGCTGCGTTTCCTTTTGACGACACGTCCAAACTGGTCTCTGGGGGGACTCCTACTTTTACTTCTACTCCGAGCCCGACTCCGACTTCTGCTCCTGCTTCTACTCCGGCTGCGGCCATATTTACGCCGAGCGGTGCTGTGATCCTTCCTGCTCGTCTTGCTGTCCTGCGCTCTGAGGTTTTTCACGACAGCCTTCAGCTTGTCTGTCTCTGGTTTTTCCTTCCTGAAATGTCAGAAGTAGTAAAATTATCTACAGACAGAAAGTGCTTCCTGGAAAAATTGTGGAAACTGTAATTTAATCAGAGTTAATTATATTTATATGTAAAAAAAGGAAAGCAAACATTAATTCAGTAAGAACAAGAACTTTCTGGAAACATATTTCCGTCTTTACATGTGATTCTACTCTGAACACATTAAGCAAATAAATTCATGACTCACTCAGCATCTTCTGAAGTTTTTGTCAGCTTGATCGTCATCTATCGAAGGAGACAAACACATTGTACATCGAGTTAGACCAATAACTAACACTACTATGAGAGTTACTCCCACACAGAGGACTATCTGGTGGGGAGGTTTGAGTGAGCACCATCGGAAACTTACGAGCGCCAAGATGATCGGAATTTAGAAACAAAACAAGAAGTCAGTTTTTTGTAACCTCATGTGTTAAAGGAAAATGCAGAGATTTCTGTCTAATAAGCTGCTCATTGCCTTTGATGTATGTGGACCAATCAGGAACAGAAACGCCAACTCCTAAAAGGACTCTATATCTGTACATTAGACCCTAACATCATAATTATTATTATTACACTGCAGCTTACTGAAATTTAGCGCAAAATATTTTGGGCATAAATGGCAAAATGCACAAAGGGCTTTTGGTGAAAGTCATAAAAATGTCTAACACTTACTGAGACAGTTAGCTCTGACCCACGCTGCAAACACATGAATACAGATCCAGTCCTGCTCACCTTTCCTTTGTTTGCACCGACACCTCCGAGTTTCCGGACGGGGAGGAAGACGCTCTCTGTGTAGCGTTTTATCCTGATGGCCTGGTTACCCCCGTCCGCCGTCTCATGCTTGGACAAACCACAACAGATATGCTTTTAAAAATACATCACACAAACAAGGACCTTTGATTTAATCAGCTCCTCGGATGTTAGCCTGTGTTGTTACTCTACTGGAACAACAGTAGAGCACCAACACTGGACACGAGGGTTGTCCCTATATAGTATTTTTGCCGTGGTTTGAGCCTAGTCCTTTAATATATGGTATCTGCTGCTACCTGATACCAATATCTGAGAAAATACACACTTCAGATACAGCAGACCAGCTGCAGTACCTGGTTGTTCCACCAGGTGGAGCCTCTCACTGTTTAACCCTGTAGAGACCAGAGGAGGCGTCTACAGACCACAGCTCATGGTGGCAGCAGAGAGCATTGTGGGAGTTTAGCAGCAACGGGACCATGACAGAGACTCTGAGGAGGTTCAGGACCTCCAAGCAGAGCTCAGGAGTTTAAGGCAGACTGGGATCATCTAAGACACAGTTCCTGCATCACAGTGACAGATGGAACAGCGACGACTGAAGCCTGTATCTCGTGTCCGCTGATTAAAAGAGCACCACAGAAATAGGCAATGTGCCAATTTATATCATAAATTAATCAAATGCTGAGTGATAATGCTGCATTAATTAGAAAAATATTTAAATCTGTGTGTCACTGTCTGACAATGGATATAAATGACAGATTCGTTTGTGCTGATACTTAAAAGTTGGCTTGATTGAGCAGCTTCAGGACATTCCTACACAACTCCCCAACATCTAGACAGAACGCGAGAGCAGATCTGAATGATCACAACAACATCCCGACTGTGACTCTTCAGCAGCCACCAGGTGTTTGTGGACATCAGAGTATTTCAATAAGCTGCTCAGGTGCTGTTCTAACTGGACTCCTGCACTGTTTTCCTTAGTACAGGATGATGAGAACTCACCGGGATGACGCTGAATTCGACCTTCTCGTTCAGCTCTAGCTTCTTCTTCTCGATCACCTCGGACATGTGGAAGTAGAGCTGAGGGTTCTGAGTGCACTTGATGAGACCGGAGTCCTGGGAGAACTCGATCACGATGCCCTGGTTTCACAGACAAACACAATCATTTTAAAACTCATCGCAGGTTTGCTTCAGGATTCCCAGCTGCTCAGAAAGACACCAGTGAACAGGTGTTTCTTACATGTCGGCGCTGCTCGATGGATTCCTCGAAGGAGTCGGGGAGGATTTCCACATATGTCGCTCGCTCCTCTTTGGACTCCCGATGGGTGGCGATGTTGAAACGCACCTTCAGAGATCAGACACAGTTCGGCATCACATTAACAAAGCAGTCGACCAGAAACAGCCACAGGGAGAAGTAACTAGACCACAAAGAGGTGGTGGAAACACTGGTCCATGTGTCATTCATTTCTGCTGAAACACTGAGCTGTTGCTGGAAAAGTAAACTGTCTCAGAAATTTCATGTTTGACTCTATATTTGGAAAAAATGAGCAGTTTGTTATAAAAACACGAGACCATTTCATGGTTTATTTCTGCTTCTGTTGAGTGGCTACAGATTGGTCCAGCCGTCACGGCCACGTGGAGGAAATACTGGATAAACGTCGTCCTCACCTTGTCTCCGTCCAACATGGTGGCGCTACTGAGCAAGTCTTTGGGGCAGAAGGGAAGCTGCTTCTGTTGACCCTCGACGGTCATCACCAGTCGACCCATCTCTTGGTTCAGTTTGGCTCCGCCCCCTGCTGCCAGCGTTGACTCCGCCTCCTCGTCCTCCTTCTTCACCTCCACCTTCACCTTCACACCGTTATCCACGTTCTCCGTCTTTACAGAACAATGTCTCCAGTTACTTTTCTTCCTCAGTAAGTCAAACATGCAGAGCTTCAGGTTCGGGTTGTACCTGTCCATTCTCGGCGCCTCCTCGCTCCACCTTGACCTCCTCCGGCTCCTTCTTGATCTCCTTGCGTGGAGCTTTGGAGATGGCTTTGAGGACTGTTCCTTCGAATCGCTCTTTGCTGATGTCGTCCAGCGAGTCAGGATCTCTGATTTTGAAGCCGAGCGGCGTCCACTGCAGAAGAAGGACAAACTGAATGAAGTCAAGCTGCTGCTGAGCTGGTTTTTCTCTTTAACTGTACAAGTCAGACATAAATATAAGATTTCATCAAGTCACACAAAACACAACCTGAGAGAGTTTGTTTGAACTGTGTGGCTTTAAATCTGGACTTCAGTTGGCAGACATGAGGTGTGAGCGTTCAGGAATAAAATCAGATATAAGTGAAGATCGATCGTCTCTCACTTTGTCTCTGGCGGCTGCCAGCGCTGCAGCGACTTCCTCCTTCTTCTTCCTCTCCGTCTCCTTCTCCTGCTCTTCCTCCTCCCTCTTCTTCTTCTTCTTCTCCTCTTCCTCTCGTCGTTTCTGCTCGTGCAGGATTTGGTCCTCGATCTTCTTCGTCCTCCTCAGCCTGATGGCTCTCTTCTTCGACTTTACCTGCAGACAAAACCACGATGAAGCCGGTTCTCGTCCTTCAGAGTCGCAAAACAGCTGCAAAGAGGCAAGAACAACAACAAACACTCTCAAAGAGACTCCGTCGTGTTTCTGTCGAACTCACCGTGATGGTGGTGAACTCCACCTCTCTGTGGACGTCGTCGGCGTTGAACTCTGTGTCGCTGAAGTTCTCACAGACGTCGAACTGAAGCTCTCCGTGCTCCTCTGAGGTGACGGCGCCCTCCTCTGGTCCCACACAGGTGATGACGCCCTGAAACAGAAACACCTGAGAGGCTGCAGCCAAACTACAAAAACTACCAGATTCGCTGAACAGCTTCTCCTGCAGAGGCGAAATGATCAATGTGTCGGTATCAAAGCGAGTCGATATCGTGTCATTCCTTACTAGATTACTTCATTAGTAAGGATGACTGTAACTGAACAGGTACAGCAGAGAAGGAGTGATGGTATCTGACGTAGGATGTTCTCCTGTTTACTGATCGATCAACTGATTGACACTGATCGGTTCTGTCTGCTATTCTTCTGTTTCTTTCTCAGTTCCGTCTCTGTTATTTCCCACTGAGGTCCAGATCTTAGAGTTTTATCAGTTATTGTTTTCCAGACTCAGGTTCATGGTTAAGCTGTTGCTGCCTGCTAACTTAGCTGCTAGTCATTAGCGTAGCATTAGCCACTCTGAAAGCAGCTAATGTCCTGATTGGTGCTGATGTTTGTGCTACTTGTTCAGTTTTTTGCAGGATGTGTATCTGCAGAGAGACGAGTCTGTCCTCTCAGTGTTGGCATTAGCCTAGCCTAGCAGCGTCAGCAGAATCAGTTCCAGGTGCTCTGACACCAACAGGTGAATTCTTCAGGTGACACTGAGCTGCTGTGAAGGATTGTGGTGTTTATTAGAAGCTAGCTGCTAGCTGGAGCTGCTACAGTCTGCTAATGTGCTCGTCTGTCTCTCTGTGTAAACAATAGCTGCCAGTGATTGGCTGCTGCTGTGAGGTGCAGTGAAGCTGGTGGCTGCAGCTGTGTGGCTCATAGAGGAGTTGTGTTACCAGCTCTCTGGTCTCCTTGGTGTAGCTGAAGGTGAAGGGGATCTTGGGCTTGATGTTTGCCGCCCTCCTCTTCCTCGTCACCAAGTCAACCAGCAGGTTGATGAGCACGTGGTCGTTCTTCAGCAGCGTCACGCCGCAATCACGATGGTCGAACGTCACGTTGGTCCTGATGGGGCCGATGTTGGCGTGAATCTGACCGGGATACCCCGGCATGGTGGGCTGGAGGCGGAGGCACAGCTCAGAATACAGACACACAAAGAGACACAGCTGCAGGTGGATGCTGGTGTGTAGCAGCTCTCATTCAGTTGTAAACTGACAGTGTATACATGATTGTGTCCGCTGTGTGTCTTCGCTGACTCTGTACAGATTGAGACACACTGAGCATGCTCACCGAGGGCTCTATGATTGGCTGGCTCACGATGCCCTCGTACAGTTCCGGGTCCAGCCTCATGTTGGGTCCCAGCTCCAGCTTGGTTTTCCTCTTCAGCACCCTCCAGGACTCTTCGTCGCTGTCGCTGTTGCTGTCGGCCTTCTCAGCGGCGATGACATCAGAAGAGGCGGTGCAGAGCGTCAGGAGGAGGGGCTCCTTCGCTCGCTGGATCCTGATCGCTCGCTTCCCCGACTTCAGCTGACAACAACACGGTTCACATTAAAACAGATAAAAGATTCAGGGTTCAGCCTGTAGCTCTGCACAGATTCCTGCTTCTCTCGTTGTCTTGTATAGTATTTAAAGAAGTGTTTTTGTGTTTCCAGCTGTTGGTTGCACAAAACAAGTGATGTGACTGATGAGAGCAGCATCATGTCTGAAGGTTCAGGATGAACTCTGTGGACATAAACGTGTGTTTTCACCTCGATGACGCTGAACTCGACCTCCTCGTTGACGTCTTCATCGGTGAAGTCGACGTCGCTGAAGTTCTCTTTGGTGTCGAAGGGAAGTTCTCCGTGTTCCTCCGACCTGATGATGCCTTCGCCGTCCTTCAGGCTGACGATGACGCCCTGCAGCCACAAAACAAAAGATGCTGGATTATAGAATCCAGATCTAGCGATCGAAAATCAATAAATCCCAGACTGTCGACAACTGATATTCTGTGTTTAGGTTTAGATTTTAACATTTAAACAGCTGAACCTCAAACAATAGCTTCAGATGATTAAAGAACATCTGCGCCTCTTGTCTTCACGCTAACGTCTCGGTTTAATCGGCTGATATTCTGTTTGATAATCTGTGTCTGCACACAGACATCCCAAAATTCAGACTTAAAATGGATTAAACCTCAGACGAACTCGGACCTCACCAGTGTGGCTCAAGTTTGCGGATCTCTGATGTTGGTGGATTAACCTGAACCCAACTCAGATTAAACTGGTTTCAAGCGGTTTAAATCAGATGCATGCTGACCTTCTCCCGGACCTCCCCGGTGTGGTTGAAGGTCGTGGGGATCTTGGGCCTGATGTTGGTCGCCCTCCTCTTCTCGGACACGATGTCGGTCAGCAGGTTGATCAGAACCTGGTCGTTCTTCAGCAGCGTCACCGTGCTGTCCTTCCTGTCGAAGGGCAGGTTGGTCCTCAGCGGCCCGATGTCCACGTACACCTGGCCGGGATACGCCCGCTCGCCGGGCTGCAGCAGCAGAAGCAGCAGAAGTTATCAGGAGGACGGACAAGAAACTGAAACTCAAACATTGTCAGGAATAATCTCCAGATTGGAGGTGAGAGTCAGAGCAGCTTCTCCAGGTTTAGTTTGGACTGTCAGTGTTAGTCTGACCTGAAGCCCAACAGAACTCGATCAAAACTTCAATTTAAACTGGTTTAAATCTCAGGTTCAAACTGGATCAAAGCTCAACTTTAAAGTGGTTTAAAACTGGATTAAAGCTCTGAATAAAGTCTGGTTCAGACCAGATTAAAGCACTGACCTGCGGCACCACGATGGGCTGACTGACCACGGCTTCGTAAATCTCCGTGTCGACGTTCTCGGTTCCACCTGGAGCCACTTTCACATCCGTCGCTATCAAGCTGTTATTCTGAGACACAAATGTTCTGGTGTCACTCAGTGAACACAGCGTCTGTGGAGCTTCTGCAGCATCGTGTTTAAACAGCTGCACGTGTCACAGTTAACTGAACAAAAGAACGTGTCGTGGCTTTAAAGCGTCTTCTCTCCTGCACAGCGCTGACGTTCTCACCTTCTCCTTGCAGGCGGTGAAGTGGACCCGGACTCCGGGCGTCATGGCTTTAGGGTTCCCAAAGAAGGCGTCGAAGCTGAACGTGAACTTCTCCAGATCCTCTCGCTCGATGTAGCCGAAGGTCGGCTGCAGGAGACGGAACCAGAACATGACCGGAGCACGTGACACCAAACGAACTGAATGTTCAGATATTTGTATTGCTTTTGGCGCTTAAGTCTCTGAGGTCCTGAGAGTTCATTTGTTCTTAAAACTGATGCTGAGCATCAGAACCGATGTGGTTGTTCATCACTGACACGGTCCAGATGGAAATAAAACCTGATCATGAATTACAGGAAGAACGATGCCTTGTTTGTGTTTCCATAAAACATCAGAACCACATGGAGACAACCCGGGGTTCAAAGGGTTAAAGTCTGAGGCTGATTCTTTTGAAAAGCCCACCTGTACTGTTTACCTG